TTTGTATGGTGCTTCCACCTAGGGATGACAGTGGACCAAGAAAAAATGGATATTCGTCTAAACCCGCCTCGTTTGGACCGGGGATAGACTATACGTATTAGACGGTGGACGTATATGAGAATATCCGTATAAACCCGTACAGGAATGAAGGCGGGGATGAACTTACTCTTACCCCCTCCTAGTCCCTCTCCGCCCCCTGCTACCCGTTATATATATATATACTCTAAAGTCATAACTAAACATATTTATTATAACTACCAAGCTAGAAATATGATAATCAAACTAAAAAGTGACATTGCTGTGTGGTAATCTTATCAACTTTTTTTTCTGATTGTTCTTTTTTCTATTTATGCTCACTGATTGAAACTGTTAAAAGTTTGGATTAACCATATTCTAAAAACAGATAAGATGGAGTAAGATAGTTTTGCATTTCATCGTGGGTAGAAATATTGTGAATGGAGGTTGCTGAGTTTCTCTGTTAGAGTGAACTAAAAAATGGGAAGAACTATTGAATTAGCGAAATTTTAAGTTTTCATCTTTTAACACTTTATGGCTGTAATATGAATTATAATAACAAAAATTATTCTAGAAAACTTTAAGTGCAGTGCTATCGTTTTGTTAGTTTAATTTTATTTTATATTTCTTCCTTTCTCTCTAATAGTTTTGTTTCTCTTTTTATGGTCCAATGACATTTTAAATAGAATACTATATTGTTTTGGCTTTTATATTTTGTAATCTATATTATGTTGTGTTAGACTATGTTAGAATGTTGTTGAATTATTTAAAACATTGGATTTATTTATAATTTTGGATTATGCTATTTGGGCTTGGGTTGGGGCTGGGGCTTGGGCTTAGGCGGATACGGGAGAAGCAATGACGGGGACGGAGATTAGAAATTTACCCGCAAACGGGAATGGGGATGAAAATTATACCCGTTATCAGAGGTGGACCAGGGTTGGACGGAATTTTTTTAAGCAGGTATAAGGATGAAGACTACAGTCTCCGCCCTCCGCTTCGGTCCACTGACATCCTTACTTCCACCTCAATCTTACAGGGGAGTGATAAGATCAAAGACTTTAAAGCTCAATTTTTAGCTTAGCCTAATTGATATCATCTGGGAGTTTGGTTTACCATTTGTATTTTGGCTTCTGCTTTATCAAGGTGGAGAAGTCTAAGGAATGAATGTACGTGCAATATGGGAGATATACAATTGCAGATATCATTCAGCATCTGGAAGGATAGATCTCTGCCACTTTTCACCTGAGAGCTCTCCTTGGGTTAAGGGAGATTATTCTCTTAAGTTAAGGAGGACTACTTTTATTAGGACTGTTCTTGTAAAGAGTCAGGTCAGTCATGTAATTGCTATATATGCACAATGCAAGTAATGAGCCAGTCACCTTTTTTGGCCAAAAGCTTTCTTCGTTTATTCAAAGCAAAAAGTTCTCATTGGAGATAATTTCATTAAAATCTCTGCTACATATCCATGGCAAACTAGATCTAACACTAAATCTGGATAATAGTGACCAAGACCTTTTCCTCATAGATGCCTCAGGATGACCATTAAGAGCACGAATAGTCTAACGGTTCCCAAGCCCTCGACAGTTCTAGATAAGGCCTATCATTATTGTCGGCGGGATTGAGAATCAATCTCCGCTGTTGAGATTTGAAGATTTGGGTTTCCATCAAAGCTAGTCACGATACTTGCCTTCTTCCTTCCCACAGAGTTTTCACACTTCTTCGGATCCAATTTTCTTTTCTCTCCTGCTTTTACTTCATTAATTTCCCAGGACACCGATCTTAAGGAGCTCGAGGAACCCTAACCCCTTCCCTTTCTCTTTGTGGTCAAGTCGAGGGTTTATTTTTTTGGATCAGCCAACAGGATCTTTGGGGGTTCATTAAGGGTTATTTGCACCGGCTTTTGGGGTTGCCAATATTAGGGTCGTTTGATAATCAGTATATTAAATTAGACATAATTATAAAAAAATATACAAAATAAAATACTTTAGAGAAAAGTACATAGATGAGATGTAAAAATGTGACTCATTTTATAAAATTTTCTTTTTTAAAAACTTTAACAAGACAATTATCTTAAGCTTAAAATTTATGATTTTTTAATTCGAAAGCTTTAATGCACCTTGATTCATGCGTATTTTTTTTTAAAGTGATTTTATTTTCAAATTATATTTATACATTAAATATCTTTTNAATGCATTTTTGAACTTCAAATTGCATGTTTTGATATTTTGCAACCTTTGTTGGACAATAAGGAATTGGTTATCAAAACACAAAGACCATTAAAGAGAATTTTATGCATGTCTCTCTCATCAGCGAAGAAGATTTGAAACATATTTGGGTTGATTCTGATGATGTGGATACTTTTACATCCCCAAACCGAGGCCATAGTATTGTTGAAGGCAGAGAACGTTAACTAGTTTATCCGTTAGAAGTTGTCCAAAAATGCCTTTTTTCACACTCTTGAACATCATCCGCTATGTCAGAAGAGTCAAAATAAATAATGGAATCCTCTTCCTCTGTCACGGATTGTAACTTATCTAGAATACTCTCTGCCATGATCAGAGAGTAGGGTTAAGATAACCTACAGTGGATATAACTAAGGAATGAAGGCAACGAACAAAAGAGAAGAGAAAAGTCAGTATCGAAATGTGCATTATGGATCAATAAGAGATAAGAGCATTGAATTAGGGGAAAATAGAGGAGGAGATCAAAAGGAACTAATAGGTTTAACCCTAGGTTTGGGAGAGAAGAGGCCCTGTAGGTGTTCCTAAGGAGAGACCCTTGGTTAAAATATGGCCTTAATTGAACATGGTATCAAAATATTGTTTGGCATCCTCAAAAACTTGGCATAATTGAACCTGGATCCACAATGTATTTCCTCCGGCCATGAAAATAAAAGTAGACTTAATTGAACATATATTTAAAAAGGGTAAATTATAAGGGGTACACCAAATTAAACTTATTTGACAAAAAATACACACTAAAAAATGTAGGGTTATTAAATCTTTAATTTTGATACTTATGTGTATGTTCTTTGAAAAATGGTGCATTTAATATCTCATATTTTATGGGAGAACTTTAATATTNAAAATGGTGCATTTAATATCTCCTATTTTATGGGAGAACTTTAATATTTAATTTACCTTGATTCATGTGTATTTGTTAATATATATTATATATATATATATATACTAGTAATTGCCCGTGCCTGAAGGCGCAGTGTTACTCATAAATTAGTAATATCGAAACATAATAATTCAAATATCTGAAAAATTATGCTACAAAAATTATGTTTTAACCACCGAAACATAATAATTCAAATATCTGAAAAAAATATATCAGTTGACAATATTTAATGTTCTATTTTTGATTCAAAATCTACGATTTTTACATTCATAATCAACTTTATCTAAATAATAACAAAATTCATAACTAATAGAATGAAAATTAAAACAATACTCCCACAAATAATCTAAGCCTGTAGATATTGTCAAATGACCAAATATAACTATCAGAAATTCAACCGACTTCCAAAAGATACGACCTGAAAAAAAAAAAAAAAAAATTACAGTTAGGTGTTTATTTATTCTCTAAAAGCATACATTTTTTCTTTTATCCACATTCAAATAATAAAAACATAGAGAAATAATGTTTACCTAAAAAATATTGTTTCATCTGTGGAGGTCTTGTTCATAGTAGATTCAGTTGAACCTCCACGTCTTCTAACGCTCGTGAACAGAGTATATCATCTTCGATATCTACCAATGTCTCCTCCAATTCTATCATATCTATGAAGTCATTCTCAAACTTCTTATTGATTTCGTCAATTGGCCTCATAGATGGAAGCGTGTTAACAACAACATATAACATAATTGAATTATTCGGCATAAAACCTTCTTGTTGCAGTTTATAAAATAACTGTTCTTTCTTTTTTATATGATCTAAAACATTCGTATCTGGACCCATTTTTTCTTGCTCAAATTGTATCCATAATGGATGGATATCGCGTTCCGCTTCCACTAATAATTGTACAAACCGTACTGCATTGGTTGGTTTTAAAAATTTAAAACTTAGGGAGTTATTTACAATCCTTCTAGACCTCTGGTGTTCTACAATTACACCTCAATAGACCACTCATTCTTCCCAAATTGCTTTTTGGGTTAATTTCTGCCTTTGGGCTGTTGGTTTTATTCCCAATTGATGTTCCTGAGATCCTAAAAAAAGTTTAAGGATGACAAAAGTTGAAATTCTCGGCCATGAGGTGCCCCAAAATATTTCTCACCAAAAAAAAATCTCTAATAGCATAAAAGTTGTTTGTTGTTTTCTATTTCTTTATTTTTTTGGACATAACTTAGGCAGGCAGTAGATCAAACAACAAATTATTTTACTACATTAGGATCAAAACATAGCATATCCAAGTCCTATGCTTATTCTCACCAAAAATTAAAAAAAAAAAAATCTATGCTTATAGAAGAATTAATGGCGGGTATAGTTTGGACTGTAGAGTTTCTTCAATAGCAAAGAGATGTATTTTTCTTCCCAAATTTCTTTTTTTTTTGTTTGTTAAAATAGGTACAGTTTAAGCAGAAATGATTATTTTAGGAAAAGTGAATCTGACTTTTTGATTTTGGACCAACCAACCTCTAACTTGTTCAAGATCACATATTGTACAGACTCTCAACCTCACCTAGTCACCCACCATTGTCCTCCCTTATCAATTTTCCTTCCCGATGAGAGAGAAAGTTAAAGAGCAAATGCCAAAACAAAGACTATAAAAACTTATGGGGGGGGGGCGTTAACTCTGAAGGGAGAAGGAGGGGGACATTGGGGGGAGTAGAGAGCTGGAGGGAAGGAAAACATACCTAGGAAGAAGGAGGCAGCAACGACTGAAGGGAGAGAGACCCAAGCAGGCAGAGGGAGACCATGTGAAGCGGCTGAAGGTTCTTGACTCTGGTNCGGCGTCGTAACTTCCGAAGCAGAAATTTTCAAAAATCTTCAATCAGCCGATGTTGGAACACTAGAGTAGTTTTACCAACACCAAAAGCCAGCCATGGGCCATATTGACTTTCTTTCCTGCATCCCGTATCCACATCTTTATGAAGAAACTTGCAATTTTTCTTAGTGTGCCCCATTCTTCCACAATAGTAACACATGTACAGGAGTCGCTCGTATTGGAACAAAGCAAGACATATAATTCCATCCGAGTCCCAAAGTTTAATTCCACGACGCAAAGGTGAGAGAACACCAATTTCTATGCGTATTCTCTTGAATTTTTGTCCACGAGCAGTATTCTCTCTTATTTCCACCATTTCGCATCTAGGAAAGCTTCTTGCAATCTTAAAGGCCATCTCCTTCGTGTAGCACTCTCTTGACAGACCATGTACTTGAATCAAACAAAATGCATTTTTGAACTTCAAATTGCATGTTTTGATATTTTGCAACCTTTGTTGGACAATAAGGAATTGGTTATCAAAACACAAAGACCATTAAAGAGAATTTTATGCATGTCTCTCTCATCAGCGAAGAAGATTTGAAACATATTTGGGTTGATTCTGATGATGTGGATACTTTTACATCCCCAAACCGAGGCCATAGTATTGTTGAAGGCAGAGAACGTTAACTAGTTTATCCGTTAGAAGTTGTCCAAAAATGCCTTTTTTCACACTCTTGAACACCATCCGCTATGTCAGAAGAGTCAAAATAAATAATGGAATCCTCTTCCTCTGTCACGGATTGTAACTTATCTAGAATACTCTCTGCCATGATCAGAGAGTAGGGTTAAGATAACCTACAGTGGATATAACTAAGGAATGAAGGCAACGAACAAAAGAGAAGAGAAAAGTCAGTATCGAAATGTGCATTATGGATCAATAAGAGATAAGAGCATTGAATTAGGGGAAAATAGAGGAGGAGATCAAAAGGAACTAATAGGTTTAACCCTAGGTTTGGGAGAGAAGAGGCCCTGTAGGTGTTCCTAAGGAGAGACCCTTGGTTAAAATATGGCCTTAATTGAACATGGTATCAAAATATTGTTTGGCATCCTCAAAAACTTGGCATAATTGAACCTGGATCCACAATGTATTTCCTCCGGCCATGAAAATAAAAGTAGACTTAATTGAACATATATTTAAAAAGGGTAAATTATAAGGGGTACACCAAATTAAACTTATTTGACAAAAAATACACACTAAAAAATGTAGGGTTATTAAATCTTTAATTTTGATACTTATGTGTATGTTCTTTGAAAAATGGTGCATTTAATATCTCCTATTTTATGGGAGAACTTTAATATTTAATTTACCTTGATTCATGTGTATTTGTTAATATATATTATATATATATATATATACTAGTAATTGCCCGTGCCTGAAGGCGCAGTGTTACTCATAAATTAGTAATATCGAAACATAATAATTCAAATATCTGAAAAATTATGCTACAAAAATTATGTTTTAACCACCGAAACATAATAATTCAAATATCTGAAAAAATATATCAGTTGACAATATTTAATACTATGTTTTTGATTCAAAATCTATGATTTTTACATTCATAATCAACTTTATCTAAATAATATCAAAATTCATAACTAATAGAATGAAAATTAAAACAATACTCCCACAAATAATCTAAGCCTGTAGATATTGTCAAATGACCAAATATAACTATCAGAAATTCAACCGACTTCCAAAAGATACGACCTGAAAAAAAAAAAAAAAAAAATTACAGTTAGGTGTTTATTTATTCTCTAAAA